CTAAGTAAGCGGCGATCAAGACTGCACTGAAATTGAAGAAAGCGGTCAGCCAATTCAAATAATTAAAGGACTCCCTACCTCACAAATTGCGCGCTCCAAACTTCCATCGCAATCCTGCGATAGGCGGCGGGTGCGGCGTGTGCGACGCCGTGCTAGGGGAGAAGTTCCCGGACCCCCCTGGTACTTCTAAAAAACAGTTTAGCAGTGGGAGTAAACGTGCAACTTACCTTCAACTCTTCAATTACCTGCTTAGTGGGACCCCTCACTCCGAAACCATTACATGCAATGAGGGTAGTCATTTCTTACTTACACTTCAAACAGAGATATATCACACTTAGCTACTAACCACTCTATTTTGTTCATTTAGTTACCAACTAGGCGGAGGTGGTGTAGTGGCAAATGGCGCACTATCAAACACGCATGGTCAGTTGGCTTCTCTTGTTGGTATTCGCCTCGGCCAAGCTCCCATCCCTTGGAGGATGATTAACTGGTATCCCACTCGTCTGGGAGGATAAAAGCACTAACTTGTACATCGGATGGCCGCCGCAGTAATTGTATAGGCCGCATGCGCATTCGATAAGCCACTCCGATTCTGAAAGGAAGTCAAGTGCGGGGGTGCATCCCCTATGCGGAACAGAACAACGCTCAAAGACTTCACCCTTGACCCTGTATCCACTATTTATTTACCAATTCATCCATAAACTACATTAAAAAAAGACTAAACATAAATTCATCCGCATGATTGCAACACCAATACTAAAATGTAGGGCAGAAACTTAGCTAAAGAATAGCCCAAGTAGAAATGAATCGGTTAGACAGTAAAATTCGCTGTCTTAAAATGAAAATAAAAAAGGACCATTGAAGGAATGACAAAAGGGCATTACATTTGACCACATAGAGAATAACAAGTATAATTCGCTCGTGATTTTTTTTTACTACTTGCAGTATCAGTGTAATGTAGAAGTGTAAAATACATTAATTTTATACATCCAAAAAAGATCATTACTACAGTAAAAGTCGGTGACTGAGGCTAGGGCGTTATGGAGAATAAATAAATATACCAAAAAAAAGAATAAGCTAATACAGCACTACAAGCTGCGAATGAACTCCGAAGATTGTACTCCCATCAAAAATGAGTACAATTAGGCTGCACCATGCTAAGCTATAAATTATATCAATTAAGATTAATCCAATTAATATACAACAACATATTAAGGGCGAATGTGGAAAACT